TTTAGTTTCATTGTATTTCCCCCCCCCCCCCGCTTAAAGGCACAGAACTATCAATGACATTAGTGTCATATATAATTATACATATCTGTACAGTATATGCAGTATAGGAATCTCTTTCACCGCCCGCGTAGAAAGAGTTCCAATTCAGGGTTCGGGTTCTGGAGAAGGGCCGCGCACTAATGAAGAGACTTGAGACTTGAAGAAATTCAACTTGGCGATATGGGGGGCCAGGCGGTAGTCCAACTCTAGTGGGAGAACTATTCTTGCTCTGGCCCTGCCATCCCCTTTTATTGAAGCTTTGGGAAAAACATCTTAGGCAACATAAACAGAAATTTACATATAGCTCTTAGGCAGGAAATAACAGAAGCTTTCACAGGACAAGCAAGGTGGAGGCTGCTTTACCTAACAATGTCTCAACTAAAGATTAGAGCAATTAAGGTTGTTGACCAGCCTTCCTAGCTTCCTGTCAAATCTCTTTTTCAGTGAAACATTTATTTTCCAGCAATGCAGCATGTGTGGAGATAATAATAGAATAAAATTTTAGATGTCTTAATATGATATAATTACATCAATAAATTTCCTAAGATTGAAACACCCTTGGTAATTTGGAATAAATTACACTTGGTCATGGTGTATTAATATTTTTAATATGTTGTTGAATTCTATTTGCTGATTATTTTTTAGGATTTCAAAATCAAGATTTATAAGCGAGATTAGCCCATACTTTTCTTTTAGTTTCCTCTAGCTTAATCAAGTGTAGGTTTCAATGTTATACTCAGTTTATTAAAAGAATTAGGTCATTCTTCTCCTTATTTCCCCAGCCTCTGGAATAATTTATGAAGCATGTTATTTACCCACTCTTTGAAAGTTTGATAGATGTTCCATGTGAAACCATCTGGATTTATACCATTTTATGAGTTTGTTCTTTAATACTTTTGAATACTTCTTTTATGGAAATCAGTTTGTTTAAGCTTTTGTCTCTACTAGTGACAATTTTTAAAAATTTCATTAAAAGTTGTATCCATATCTCTTAGATTTAAAATATTTTTGTTCAGCACTTTCAGCAGTCTCAAATTTGCTTTAATTCACCTGTTTCAATGTTTATTTCCAAATTAATTTTATTTTATATATAAGACTGAGAAAAGTAGATGTAATACAAATAAATAATACTATAATTAAGAAATAATAATACAGGAATAAGCCCCATGTTTTGTGTACTCACAACAGTAACTTTGCTAAGCCCTGTATTGTTTACTTTTATTCTTTGCTTAGGTTCTATTTTATTACTTTTTATAAAGTCCTAATTTTGATAATTTATTCCTATAAATTATTTTTTTCTACCTAAAGTAGTAAAGATTTTAACTTTATTATTATTTTCTGAGGGTTTAACAAAATGTTAATGGGTCTTGAATTTCATCAGGTGTGTTTGCTACATTTACTGAAACAAGCATATTAATTTTCTCCTGTTTATTTCTGTTAGTGTTGTGAATTACATTGATTTGCAAAACATGATAAACCACCCAGAAATTCTTAGAATGCACCATGTTTGTATTGTTATATTTTTCTTATCTATTGCTAGATTTGATTATCAATATTTTATATAGGATTTTTCACCTCTGTTCATTAATCAGATTGGTCTTTTCCTTTTCTATAAAATCTTTGTTAGATTTTTGTATCAATATTATCCTGGCCTCATAAAATGAGCTGGGAAATATTCCTTATTTTTCCCTTATTTTGAAGAGTTTATGTAATGTTGGTGTCTTTTCTTCCTTAAATGTTTAGAATAATTCACCTGTTAAACCATCTGGGCCTGAAGTTCTTTCTGGAAAATTTAAAAAAATAACACATCCAGCGTTTAGAGTACAAAGAGGACTATTAAGATTTCCCTATTATTTGTGTTTTTTGGCTAAGATCAAGTGTAGTATTTGTGTCTATTTTTAGTAATATTTTAAAAGAGTTTGTTCATCTAATTGCCAAATTTGTAATGCATACACTTTTATACAGAGGTGGGCAAAAGTAGGTTTATAGTTTATGAATATGCTAAACACAAAGTTAATAAAGCTATTGCAATAATCATAATCCACATGTATTTTTTCCCATATGAACAACTGTAAACCTACTTTTGTCCACCCCTGTATATTCTTATTATTCTTTTATTGTCTGGTAAAATCTTTAGAATTTTCCCCTTTTATTATAGACTAGAGGCCCAGTGCATAAAAATTTGTGCACTGAGATGGGGGGGTGGTCCCCCTCAGTCCAGCTTGAGCCCTCTCACAGTCCGGGAGTCCTCAGGGGATGTCCTAACTGATATATGGCCTCACTCTGTGGAGGTGATGGGACAGACAATCAGAAGATAACACTGCCCCCATCACCTTGCCATTGCTGCCTGACCTCCCTCTGCAGGAAGTGACCAGATGGGCCTATCAGAGAATGGTGCTGGCCCCCCTATTGCCCCTTGGTCGCTGCTGATTGCTGCCACCACCCACAAGGCTGTTCCCTTCCTCTGCCCGCTGGCATGCACCTTGGCTGGCCTGGCACAGCCTGCTCACTGGCCCTGCCCCCTGCTGACTGGTCATTCTGCTGTTCGTTCGGTCGATTTGCATATTATGCTTTTATTATATATGATACTGGTAACTTTCTCTCTCTCTTTTTTTTTTTCTTGCCTAGTCTTGCTATGAACTTATTGATTTTACTAATCTGGTCAAATAACTTTTGGCTTTCTTCATTTTTATTGCCATTTTTGTGTATTTCATTATTTTCTCTTATCTTTTTCATTTCCTTTTGTTTACTTTTTGTGAGTTGATGTTTTTTGTTTTCCAGTTTTTTGAGGTAAAAAGTTGTTATTGTTTTTCTAATTTCTTCTTTCCTAACAAATGTATTCAAAGCTATCTTATACTCATAAGCACTGCTTTAGTTGTATCTCCAGTTTGTATTTATTATATCTTCATTATCATGGAATTCAAAAATATTTAATTTTATTTTACTATGATCTCTTCTTTGACCCATGGGTTATATAGATGTGATTGCCTAGTTTCAAGCAGTTGTGAATATGTAAGGTATTTTTTTAATTTTAATTTTTAGCTTAATTCCACTAGGTCAAAGATCATACTCTAAATAATTTCAGTCATTGAAATTTATTGAAGATTTTTGATCCAGCATAAGTCAATCTTGGTAAACATTTAAAGTGTACTTAAAATATTAATTTTATTATTCCTAGGTGCAATATACTATAAATGTTAAGTGTATTTAGTTGATTGAGTTTATCAGGTCTTATTGATTTTTTTGTCTGTGTACTATGTCAGCTCAGCCCTGAGAAAGAAGGAAATTCTGCCATTTATCAACAGTGTGAATGAACTTTGAGGATATTATGCTTAGTGAGCTAAGCCAGACAGAGAATAACAAATATTGTATAATATCACTTATATGTGAAATCTAGAAAGCCAAATGCATAGACACAGAGAGTAGAATGGTTGTTACCAGGGCCTAGGGATGGGGGAATTGGAGAGACATTCCCAAAGGGTACAAACTTGCAACTGGAAGATGAGTAAATTCTACCATCCAATGCAGAGCATAGCGATTAAAATCCACAATACTGTATTATTTACTTATAATTTGCTAGACTATATCTTAAAAGTTCTCATGCCCTTAAGAAAAAATCATTATGTGACTTGATAAGAAGGTTTGCTAAAACTAAGGTGGTAATGATATTACAATAAATAAATGTATAAAATTTGGTCATTGTACAATTTAAACTTACACAATGTTGTATGTCGATTATTTCTAATAATAAAAGCCTAATATGCTAATTAGACTGGACATCATTCTGGATGATCTTTCGGATGAAGCCACAGCAGATGGGGGCTGAGGCAGCCTCTGAGGCAGCCACCTCAGAGGGAGGGAGTGGAAGTAGGAGGGGCTGAGATCCTTGCACAAATTTTATGCATTGAGCCTCTAGTATTTCAATAAAAAAGAGAGGAAGGGAGTTGGCAATGCTGTATATAAGAAACAAAAGTGTTTGGCATGGCAATGACATCAGACTGGCCCAAGATACTGGACAATGCAGGCTGGGGAGATAAGGTATAGGGCATAACAGTTACTTAAATGTCAGCAGGTGCCAGGCAAGTGAGGTGCATAAATAAAGTGGGTCAGGGGAAAGTGCCTACTGTGTACATTACATGGGTGTGGGTATATGAGCACATATAAGCGTGCAGTGTGTGTGTGTGTGTGTGTGTGTGTGTGTGTGTGTGTGTAGGGGGCAAAATAATGAGCTGTGACTCTTCAAAAGGAGGCAGCTGGTATTTCTTTCCAGAAGAGATTTGTTTTGTGGGTCTAATGTTGTCTGATGTCCTAATCTTTCAAGAGAAGCCAGAAAACAATACATTTATATAAATATCATGTGTTTCCAATGTTGGCTCAGAATGTTAACAACATGAAGCAATGCGTGGGTACCAGAGTTGGGCTCAGGAAGAAGAGATGTTCGGAAGGAGCGAGGGCATGAAGAAGAGAAAAAAGACAATAGTAAAGAAGCTTGAAGAATTTATTTAAGTATGTCTTTGATATATTGAAAGCTGAGCATTTTTATGACAAAAGTTTCAAGAAGAAAGTTTTCTTTCCAGTTTCACCACTGTGGCTACCAGCCCAATCCTTATTTTAATGTAGAGATGCTGTGATTGGAATAAGTTATATGTACAAATCATATCATAGAAAACCAATTTCATTGCTAACTATAAGCAGGTTAGGGTACTTCATCCAAAATAAGAAGAAAATAAGAGATTTTGCACTTTTATATTTTAAAGCAGACATTTTAGCAATAGTTTGACAATAGTTTATTCCATTTATACTCTTTTTGGCAACACAACCTTAAAATACAATCTATTCATTGGCATGCAAAGCAACATGGCTTCAGAATACACCTCTTACATTTCACAGAACTTAAAATTTCAAACATCCCATGTGGCTGGTAGGTGACGTTATGAAGATGATCTTGAGTAGTGACATACTTACTTCCTAAAGATAAAAGAAAAAGACAGTCATATAACAGAGCTATCATACTCAGTTGATGTAGTTAAATTATCCAGGAAATATTTTAAAGATTTATTTTGGTAAAAGTTGTTTATTAATCTTTTTGTCTTATGAATCCCTTAGTCTTTTGAACTTTTCAAATATTTGCATTCAAATATTTGCATTCAAAGAGTCACAGCTCATTATTTTGCCCCCTAAAGTTCCCTGATCAAGAAATATAAAGTGTATAAATACTTATAAAAAGCCATTATAACCCACCAAGGTAAGTGGTTACTTTTGGTGGTTAGATTTTTATTACTATCCTTATATTAAGTATGTAATACCAAATTTATTCGTGCTAAAAATTCAAAATACAGAGCAATAAAGAATATCACATTATCACGTGAATGCCGTATATTTCCATCTCTTATTCTTCTTATCTGTGTTCCTAATGCCCCGTCCCTTAATTGACACTCAGGAAATGTTTTTGGAGTAAGTGGGTGAATGAGTAAAAGTGTAATTATCTAAAACAAATACAATGATGTATTCTTAAATGAGTCATACTTTTGCTTATCTACCAAGAGAGTAAAGACTCTCTTCCCCACACAAGGAACAACCTGTAGCTGTATGATACAATTGCTGGAAGTTTTGATGGCTTTAAGAATGCACTAAACTCAAATCACCTGTCAGTAATCTTGTTTTGAAGCAGCCAGTTTATAAAGTCCCGGGTGGCAAGATTATCAAGAACTGTGTTCATCTCATCGGAGAAAGAGCCTTCAGCATGTCTGCGGCGGAGTTCTTCAGCAATGGTGCCTTCTGGGAAGCTGAGGAAAAGGGGGATAAAAATTGGTATTTGGTTAAATGCATATCACTGGTAACGTGTGAGGGTCATTGAGAAAACAGGATGTTATATTTACAGAAGGCCGACTATGGGAATCTGCATGAACTGGAGCATGTCAGAATGGAAAGTCTGGAGGTAGGAAAGAGCAGAGCAGGGATGTGAAACCCAGCCTGTGTAACTTCATGCTTTCTGCACTGGTCCAGCTGCTCCAAGGTTTTTAATATATTGGTGACACAGAGGTTATTATTGAGATTATTACTTTGTTTAAAATTCAGGAAAATGTAAAACTAGTGGTTATCAGAACAGCGTTGCAAAATGCAGTATTAAGGGTTTAAACTTTAATTTATATTAGATTTTCTTTTTTTGTTAGTTTAATTAGCAACATTTTTTTTGGTGCCCTTTAGAATATTATAAAATATCCTCAAGTATAAATGACCATTTTACCATCGATTTTGTAAATTGGGTCATCAATGTTTTAAAAAGCAGTGACAATATCAGGTTATTAGCTAAGTTGTAACACAATCCCTTTTGTTTTAAGATTTCTCCAAATCTCAGTAAGCTTGTTTTAAATCTCACAAAAAAATTGAGTTGAACATGAATTTTCTGCTTCTCATTCAATTCAAATGTCCATCAAAATGGCCACGAGAAAATGAGATGGTTCCAGGGTCTGTTTGGTTGTGGTAAGATCCAAAATGGTACCTAATGGGCTTAGTTTCATTTTCAGCTGTGAAACTTTAATGGCTATTTATATGACAGTCCCATAAAAAATGGGGATGTTGTTAAACATATGGATGTTTGCACATATTTATATTTTGAATGTCATTTTATTAAACGTCTTAAGTTTAATACCTTTCCGTCTTTATCAGATTACTAGAGGCCTGATGCACGAAATTCATGCCTGGGTAGGGTCCCTAGGCTTGGCCAGAAATCAGAGCCAATTTGTGGGGCAACCAGTCAGATGATGGGGGGGGTGTTACTGACACCTGCTTTGGCCGACCTGGTGCTGTCCACGTGCTGGCCCCACTCCCCAGCCAGCCCCATCCCGGGACTGCCACCACTGGTCACTTCCCTCTGTAGGGTGACCAGCAGGGCAACTGGGGAGCCCCCGCTGGCACCCACCGTGGCTGGCCTGGGGCCCGTGGGCTGGAAGCAGCTCCTGCACTGAGCATCTGCCCCCTGTGGTCAGTACACATCATAGCGACCTGATATTCCACCAGTGGTTCTACTGTTTAGTTGATTTGCATATTAGGCTTTTATTATGTAGGATTAGCTAAACAGTAGCACAAATAAATGTTGATCCCGTATGTAAATACCTAAAGTCAAACTTTAAGTTTTCAGCATTGTTTCTTTTTTCCTTATCCCTAGTTTTCTAGTTTAAGCTTATCATCCTGATATAGCTCTCAATAGCACCCTATTCTCAAGTGTCTTCAATTGACAAATTAATAACCTAATTATAACACAACTCTAATGTGGGATAAAAATACCACCTGTTTGACTCTATTATTAATACTTGCTACTACAGATAAAACATATTAAATTCTTGTTGATTGTCTCCCACCAATAAGAGTCCTTACTTTGCGAGACTATATTATTATAATTGCTTCTATAACTCAAATCCATAAATAGATAACTGTAGTGTAAGTTTTCAACATCAAGCAAAAAAAATAAAGTTAAATAAGAGTGTACAGACTTACTCTTTCCTATCTCGGCCTTTCACCAGCCAAGCAATGAATTCCCTGACAGCTTGGTCTTCCAAATAAGTACTTAAGTCACTGGTAAAGGTCCCTTCAGCATGTCTCTCAAGTTCATCATGACGTTTGGCAATGTTATTCCTGAAAGAAATGTGAACGTTACATTGAAGATCTGTCTCTTTAGCAATATGGTTCTCAACCTATAAGCAGTGGCAGCTTGGGGTTAAAGAGGCTTAGGGAGATCTAGGAGATGAGGGTCGTTAGGAGACTCGTCTTGAAACTACATGAATTATCTGAACTGACAGTTGATGGGAGAGACATAATAGCAATTAAGGTAATAGCAAATAACACCCATTTTCACCTCTTCTGATTATCTGTGCCACTGATTATTACTGTTGCATTTATTGCAGCCTCAGTGTACCCACTGTGCTTTGCAGCTTGCAAACAAGCAGCCGTTTGTTATTAATACTTCCGGGGTCAGACATAGTTAAATAGTTAAATGAGTAAAGGAAAGCTAAGGACCATCTCAAAACGTCCTCAAAAGGACCACATGGTAATGGATGAAAAGAAAAATGTGATGGGTCAGCAGTGAAGAAGCTAATATGATGACTCCATATCATCGCCAAATGTGATCTGTGCAGGTGGTGGACCAGCTGCCCTTTTTCATCTATTACCTCTGAAAGGTTTCATCTTAAACACATAACAGAAATTACCTGAGAGTTAGGATTATTTTATATTAGATTACCAAATTGTAGCATTCCCTTTCCAGAAATGAGGATAATTGTTTTCTTTTTCTTTTTTTCTTTTCTTTTTTTTTTTTCTTTTTCTTTTTCAGATTTGGGATTTCTCTTCTGTCACCAATGGTCATGTCTGTATCACTAACAGGGACTTCTTCCAATGTCTGCTCTGACCATAACCACCATCTTTCCTGTCATGCTCTCCACTTTAAGAACTTTTGGTAAACCACTCTGTCTCTCCAATTCTTCCTGCTGACCCATATTCATTCATTCATTCTCTCATATTCTCTCTCTCTCTCTCTCTCTCTCTCTCTCTCTCTCTCTCTCTCTCTCTCTCTCTCTCTCTCTCTCTCTTAGCAAATCTATGTCCTTATCCTGATATTTAGATTCCTTCAGCTACTTTGTATGCACACCCCCTTCCCCTGTGGGCCACTCTCCAAAGAAATTGTGAAATTCCACCATCTCTGTGAAACCTTCGTGGAAGATTTCCTTCAGTAGCCTACATGCATCGTAAAACCCAACACTGTCAACGAAAATCCAACATTAAAATGTATGCCTTACGAAGGGCTTGTGCTCTTATTTGCCTTCTCTCTTTATGCGGTGCGGCTAGGCTATGATTTTAAATGTGTATCTTGGATTGTATGCTACAAGAAAACGACTGCATCTGTTTCCATTCCTTACCATGATTAACTTGGCCAAGGGTTACTTTAAATGTGATCACAGTCATGAGTTTGAACCCTACAAAGGAATGTTGAATTTGCTCTTATCTTTTGGTCAAAAAATAGATTCCTAACCTTTTGGTCTAAAAGTGTCAGCTTTCAATTTTAATAGAAAATGGGTAAGAGAGTAAATATTGCTAAGACCACAGTGGGGAAAATAATTTAAAATCTACGTTTTATTACAGTATGGGTAAGGCATTTGCAGGGTGAGAAGTGGGACTTTCAGAGGCATAGTATGAAGGATAGCATCTCCAAATCTGGAATCATCAAAGTTGAAAGAGCTTATCCGCCCTATTTGATGAGCATGATAACATAATGAAAGTCAGGAGATACTTTAGACATATTTAAGTAATACATTTGTGTGCAAATTTGGAGCTAGGTTTAGACTCTCACTTGTTCCTCTTAGTGTTCATCAACCACTCCACGAAATCTTGGGCACGCCTGGAGTCCAGATACTTGCTGTAGTCGCTGGTGAACGTGCCCTGGGAGTGGCGCTTGTCTTCATTCATCTGATCGGGATCATTGAGCGGGTCTGCCTGGGAAGCTGGGAAGGAGCTGTGAAGAACAGTGATTGGTGTAACTTAGTCTCTCCTCGAGTGGGCTCAAGAAGCATCTTCTCTACAGAACACAAGGCTACATGAAATTGAAAGGCAGGTGCCTTGAGCATTTCAGTTGATATGAGAGACACCTTGTTTGCCATGGGAATCTCAGAGCTTTATATTAGAGTTGAATACACTCTGATTATGAATCCTGGTAGCAGATTAAAAAAATTATATATATATATATATATATATATATATATATATATATATATATATATATATATAAAATTGATTTTTAACACAGAGGAAGGGAGAGGGATAGAAAGCTAGAAACATCGATGGGAGAGAAACATCAACCAGCTGCCCCCTGCACATTCCCTACTGGGGATGTGCCCACAACCAATTACATGCCCTTGACCAGAATTGAACCCAGGACCCTTTAGTCCACAGACTGACTGGTAGCTCTATCCACTGAGCCAAACCAGTTTCGGCCTGGTAGCAGATTTTTAACTGGCTTCCTCTTTACTGAAATGAGATTAAATAAATAGTTTTTAAAAGTAATTAATGTACTTATGATTCTGCTAGTAAAAGAGAGCAATTACTTGACTATTTTAAAAGAGTGAAGAATCCCAAAGGCAGCTGATCTGTGTTCTGAATTTTGTTTGTATGTGTTAATATAAAAATATAGTTCCATTACCTGGTTACATGATAGCTGATGATGAAAGAGAAAGACAATTAAAATTTAAAGAATGCCAAGAAAAGCCCACTTGCAATTTCAAACTGTGTAGTAGGTAATCCACATGACAGTAATCAACAGTTGTTTGCCATGGCAAATATGGAGAAATATTCAATAGAATTGATACTCAGAAATAGAATTAATATATTATTCTCACAGGTCAAAACAGCAAAGATTAAATTTGGGGGAGGGTATTATGAAAGGAGTATTTCTATAAGGCTGATGAGAGTGTGCATGTGTATGACTTTTCTGGAAAGCAAGCTGGCAAGATATTATAAAAGACTTAAACTTATTCAAACTCTTTGACACAGTAATTTTAGTACCAAAAATCTAGCCTCAGGAAAGAGTAAATAATGTAAGGAGAAAAGTTATTTGCAGCATTCTTTGTGGGAAAATGTAAAGAACTCAAGTGTTCAATAGAAGAGGAATAGCTAAATAAATATTGTACATTTATGAGATGAACTAGTATGCAGCTATTAAATATCATACATTTGATATTTGTAATGCTATACAAAAGAGCTAACAATACAATGCTAAGATAAAAAGCATAATATGAAGCTGTATAATGATCTGAGATATATTCTATATTCAGTACATACATAATATTTTTTGCATATTTTGTATCATGAACATGTATGACTTTTACAATTAGTAAGAAACAGTGTTATTTTTTAAAAAAGGAATAAAAAAAGAGAAAGTTGGTGTGAATAATTAAAATAATCTACTATGCAGTGTGTGAGTAATGAATGGATAGATAGGATCAGCTGAAGATTTCAACAAGCTATAATTTCCCATGTAACACATTTTCCAACATAGCCTACTCCTTTGGTTGTGAAACAACATTCTCTGATCTATACTCCAGAAACAACTTTATCACAATGATATTTTAAACTTTTTAAAATTGTACAGAGTATTTACTCTCAGTTACTGAGACCATTTCACAAATCATAGTTTTCACGGGCTGTATTATAACCATCTTGCTATGTGAGTTCCAGTCTAAAGTTGAATACCTGGCCTTCTCCTCCGTGTCCTGAAGGGACCGCTGCCAGCTGCCTTGGACCAGCATCACAAATAATCCAGCCACAAAGTAAATGCTTTTCATTTTTGCTGCCTGTTGGTGCACAGAGACAAGGGAGGGAGAAAGGCAACCATATTTAAACATGTCAGGCTCAATTAATTTAACTGTGATGAAGTAAATGTTATAAATAAAAAGAAAATCCATTTTATTTTGAGTATATTTTAAAATGTAGATTATATTTTCCCCTAGATTTTTTTTTTTTTTTTTTTTTTGGTGGCAAAAAAAAAAAAAAAAAGGATTTAAAAAATGTGTAAAACCTTTAAGGTTTTTCATTAATGTAGGACACTTCTCTTAATTATTAGAAGGCTCATTTCCAGATTTGGAATTAAAAATGTCTATGATAAACATTTAAGATACCCAATGTAGATGATATGCTACATATGGTTAGCCTGAATGTCACCTTATCCATAATGCCATTCCCTTCACTATCAGCCTGGCTTTCAATTAATAGTCCTTCACTCCCAAGCATTTACATTATACTGCATTTCAACCATCTTAAAGCAGCCTCGGGCTACAACTTGGCATACCAGCTGTCGGTTCAGATGTATTATTCATTTATATTTTAAATAGTGTAACTTGGTCTAGACTTTGTAATTATAAAGCGGCCAACAGATTTGAGGTATTTTAGGGTGCTTTGACCTGTTCTAAATTAAAGGGGAAAAAAATTGTTTTAAAGACAAGCAATTTGCAACAAGCACTAATGCTTCTGGCAACTTGAACAATCACAAGTAAGAAACTCAAGAGATCACTGTCATAATGAAAATGAATGTCTGTTTCTGAAGTCTCAGAAGTCCCCAGGTTGTTTTATAATTGGACTTAGTCCAGGACATGTCACTCACAGCTTGTGACACCCTAGGCCTAGTTGCGAGATACACCTGGTCGCTTGTCCTTGTACCACAAGCAGATGCCCCATGAAGCCACAGGATGCCAGGGGCGTGATGATGCCATGTGCAAAGTGGGAATGAAAACGAATTTGGGGCAGAAGATCCCCACGGGGAAAGCGCCTTTATTTTTAAATAGAAACCTCAAGTCCAGCATTTGTCATGGGCTTCTCTCTGCTACTCAGGTCCCACCATGTTTCCGTGAGAAGTGGGGATTTCAATCCAAGCTTGATTGTGTTTATCCATAAATAATGTGAATGAGTATTTTTAGCAAATGGCATTTGGTTTGAAATAAGGATTTTACAAATATTATCATTTCAAACTATCAATCTTTTCTTTAACATCCTAGCCATATTTACTGTCTAACTTTGGCACTAAAACATGGAGACTGGAATACCAGCAGTGGTATTTTTTTTTCCTTTGAAATATTAAGCCTCTTTAGATTAAGCAGTTACTTAAACAAAGCAACATAGTTGTAATTACATATTCACCCTTCTTCATTCATCACCATGAAATTACTAATTTGGCATTTTGCTATGCTTCGGGTGATCTAGTTGGCAAACTTTGGAAACTTTGCTGTATATGTAGGTAGTGTCTTCTGATTATACATCTTAATTATAAATTCATGCTTCCCGAAATTTAAAAAAAAAAGCAAAAGATTTCTTTTAGAACTACAACACTGTTGCAAAAACAAGTTAGTCCTAAGTAATTCCTTCTATGTAAAGTCCCTAAAGGTTTTACACAATCTTCACTATATTCTATATGGAGGGAGATTTAAAGCATGTGCTCTTCTGCTGCTGAGGGAGCTGATGGAAGGGAAACAAGTGAATGTTCCAAATCCTCTATAGGCAGTGAATTGAGTTCTGCTGAAAGAGAAACTGATTTTTAAAATTTCATTCATTCATTCATTTGTAAGTTTACAGAACTGTGAAAAACTTTGAGAATAAGTTTGTTTGGATGCCTCTACTGAGAAAGCAAATGCTTATATTATTTTAGATTCAAAATCTTATTCAATAATAGAAGAATTTCCAGTTACTCATCTCCATTTCATTCGGATAGCCTAAGGAGAGAATGTGTAGGTTTGTAAAAACCACACATGTCCACTAAAATTTAAAGGGAAAATATGGGAACAATAGAATTCTCTGTGTAGGAAGTCTTTTAGGAAGATTATTCTTAGACACAGGCAAGGTGACATTATATAATATCTCTAAGTGTATTGGTTTTGTAAGCCAAATACATACTTTTTAAAAACTGATCAGCTCATTTCCTCTCGTAGGTTCTGGGTATGTGTGGGAAAACACACCACTTGATCATTTACTCCACAGAGGATCTTTGTAAAACCATTCTTTGTCCCCAAGGGCTTAAATAGGTATTTTAGAACATTTTTGATTTTGTTTCTCTAGAGATTTACTAAAATCTTATTTCAGAATGTGGGCATTTTAGACATTTTATTTATTGCTACTGGTTCTCAATACATAGTAGGTAATTATTAATCGGAGGTTTCACTCAGCTCCATTCAAAGAATTCCCAATAATTGATTAGTTCAATGCACCTAATGTGCTGTGTTATTTTCAAGCAGCTGATTTTATGGACTTTGAATTTTTTGATAGACTTATAAAAATTTGAATATTTGAAAGATGATAGTTGATTCTTCTCTTTTGGAAAAGTTTTCATTGGTAAGGAGCACTTGCTATTATAGCCTCTCTAATGGACACATTTCTGCTGAATGTAAAAGGCGCCTTCTGTTCAAAGTAATATGCACATGAATCAAATCTAAGAAAAATATTTATATACTTAAAATATTACCCCTGCCTGGGTTGCAGGCTCAATCCCCAGTAGGGGCATGCAGGAGGCAGCTGATCAATGATTCTCATCATTGGTGTTTCTATCTCTCTCTCCTTCTCCCTTCCTCTCTGAAATCAATAAATAAATATATTTTAAAATGTTATCCCTTGTTTTAAACACATAGTTCTCATAGTAGTTAAGTCTTTCAACAAGTGCATTGATTAGAATCTTCGCTTTTCTTTCAACTTCATATCTTTTTATTGAATTATTTTTCCGACTCATTTTGCGGCTTCCCTGGGTTGACGTTTATGTAAATACATTTTGTATCACTTTTTCATCTCAATTCTGCCCTGTGCATTGTTAGTGAAAAGTGTCAGATGAAAGAACAACATTTGAATTCACAACACTTTATCCCCTTAACAATACTCAACGGCACCCAAATCAGAATAGACAGTCCTACAGGCTACAGGCGCTCAGTAGGAATCTTACCTTCTGATACCAGGAGCGGAGCAGAGCAGGTGGAGAGAGAGCCAGCCCTCTTTGGCACTGGAGATGAGCTGGGTCCTGAGCTCTGTACCTCTGCCCCAAAGCGCGCTGCTTTTATATACTCCCCAGCGCTGGTGAGCCTCACAGATATTACGCTGACAATATAAATTTCTCATCTGTAAATAATGAGCTCTTGTTACAAACGATTTAACTCGCCCACTCACTTTGCTCATCTCATTCTACGCTTGCATTGGGTGGGATCTCAGAGGCCAGGAAACTTTATTTACTCTCGTGCCTTTTTTTTTTTTCCCCCTGGAGAATGGAAAGGACAGTTGGGAAATTCACCTCTCACTCATCAGTCAGGCATGAAAATTGCTGACGAACTCTTGTTTTGATGTGCCCGTTGGTCGGACAGAGGATGCTTTAGTCGCAAAATCGAATCAAGGAGTCTTTAATGCAAAAGCCCGCGGTTAGGAGGGGGCGTTAGCTCTCCAGATCTCGCAGCCCCGAGTGAAGACAGGAGCAAGCTTATAAAGGCAAAAACCATCTATCCTGCTAAGATGTTGGAATGTGGAACTACCTTGGGAAAGTAGTTTGTACAGAAGCCAAATTGAGCCAAGTTAGCTATCTTTTGAGGTTACCTATAGTTTCAGGCCCTGAAGCCAGGGGCAACGGGAATCATTTTTTGAGGTTCTGGTTCCCAGGCACAGAAGAATAGCCTTTGTAAGACTACAATGAGGCTGGCAGCAAAATGGGGTGATTTATGTGAGTTTCCAGGTCTTATTCTGGAAACGGAGGTCAAAATGGAGTCACTTGGGCCAATTACCCTATTATTCAAGCAAGCAAATGTTTATAGAGGTCAGAATAGCAGGGTTAAAATTTACACAGCAGTTTTTACCCAAGATGGGGGTTACGATGCTTCACTCTGAAGTGAATTTTGATGCTGCGGATGTGAAATTACTTAGTTGATGGCTAACCTTTCTTTGAGGATGGCCTCAATTAAGGGTCTTACAAGTCTGTCCATTTTGCTACTTAGTTCTGATGAATTTTTCTGAATATAATCCTTTCATCTCCCCAAATAAATACATCACTCACTTAAAACATGGTTAGTAATCTTTCCATCTCCACTATATGGAATTATTATTATTTTTGTTTTTGGAAATTTTAAAGAATATTCATTGTAACCTAAACTGCTCTATTGCAATAAATTGGAGTTGGGAAGAAGGATAAATCAAAATGAGGATTAAACACCCAAGATAGGGGATGCTAATAAGAGAGGGTTTAGTATTTCTTTTCCTTCTAATGGATATTTAAACGCTAATTCTACTGATAAGAGAGCTGGACACTAATTTATAAAAGGGCAAGATACAATACATGCCATCATATGTATTTTTTGAGCTTCATCATCTGCCATTTAGGACTTCAATGATCTATAGGATTTAGCAGATATGAGTCTGATCACTTTAGACCAAGAGACAAATAGGAAGTGACTGGACAGACAGCAAGAGGACTGTGTAAGTGTAATTAAATTTTAGTCTGGCTGCTGTCAGCATATTGTGTGACTGTGCTCCAGTCACATCTCTCTGTGCCTCAGCTTCCGGAGCTATAAAATGAGAGGGCGGCTTAAACGACCCTTCTAAAATAAAAATCCAATTCTATGTGACAAAGCCATCACAGCATTTTCTAACTAGGTTTCTATCTTCTAATTTCATCAGCAGTGTGATGAAGCTGATGACTTGTACAGAAGTAAATCACTGATACAACTGGAGGAACATTTCCAAAGAACTTAAACTCTTTCGTTGTGGACTGGATCCACCATTGGATACAGAACTATTATACTTACACGCCATAGGCACTAATTCTCCCTGAAAT